CCGGTCATAAGTGTTAAATAAAATTTTGCATTAAACTACATGGTAATGGTGACAGAATGTCGCAAATTTGAGGTTCCCAACTTCAATAGTTAGAGGATAAAAAATAAATTAAGATTTTTCAAAAATTATTGTAGTTGTTATGAAAAAGGTTATTTTACTCTGTTAAAAATGCACTTACTGTCAATTTCAATGTCATTTTCAGAATCCTCACAAAATTTTAAATAGATATAACACATAATCGTTGGGGTACGGAAAAATATTCTATTTAAAATTCTTTGTTAAACAAATTATTTTTATATCGACGAAAATGTAAATAACATTCAGCAATTTATTTCTCGGTTGTTGAGTTCCGGCGAGGTTATCAAATATGACTAAAAACTTCCTTATTTAAAGGGCTTTACAATGATGTATAACAACATTTACCTACTGTCAAATCCATGGTGAATTTTACGCACTATTGTGAAAAATCACGGTCAAGCCAAAACAGATATTGTAAAAAATAATAAACTTTTACTTACTATTTTATGAGCTGACCACTGATGATGAGGGTGTGTATAATTTATGATTGACCAGACTACACTTGCATCAAACTAAAGAGTTTTTTAAGACTTTGGAAAATTTGTAATTAAAAAACACAACACATTAGTAAAAAACACAATACACACTTTAATTTAAATATGAAAGGATAGATAACACATTAAACAAATCAATGACATACTTTGTCCGAAGCACAAATCACAGTTTGGGTGTAAAGTGCCCACCGTTTTCCCGCAAGCAGGCCCTAGCTCTTTTGCGGATTGCGCCAACTGTGACCTCATACGTCAATTTTTCCCTTACTTTCCCAGCAGCCTCAAAGATTCTCTCCCGTAACTCAACTTCAGAGTTTACAACAGTTGAGTAAACTAGACTTTTCATGTAACCCCAAACAAAAAAATCTAACGGGCTCAAGTCTGGAGATCGAGGAGGCCATGTCACACTTCCTCCACGTCCAATCCATGTCGGGTAGTTTTGGGATAGCCACAACCGAACGCTTTCAGTAAAATGTGGTGGAGCACCATCCTGCTGAAATATGATTTCAGCTCTTTGTTGAGGATCAATTTCATCCAACAACTGAGGTAGAGAGTGCTGAAGAAAATCTAGATATAAATCACCGTTCAGATTTCCTTCGAAGATATGAGGACCAATTAACCGATCTCCAATCACACCTGCCCACATGTTGATCCCAAACCTTTTTTGAAAAGAAGCTTCTCTGGAGGCTTTTGGATTTTCATTATTCCAAAGATGCATGTTGTGAATATTTATCACACCTTCTCTGGTAAAACGGGATTCGTCAGTCCATAGTATTTTTTTAAGGAAGTGATATTCAACAATATCACGTTGAAGAAGCCAGCGGCAGAACTCCTTTCTGGATTCGAAGTCACGAGGCTCCAATCCTTGGACCTTTGTAAAATGATACGGATGGAAGTTATTGTCCTTTAACACTTTGTGTACTTTCCACCGGGACATACTAGTTTCAAGGGCAAGCTGCCTAACACTAGTAGTAGGATTATCCATAACTCTCTAAATTACACCCTCTTCAGCTGCAACATCATGCACAGGTCCTACTTCTTTCTTCTTCTTCTCAACCGATCCTGTTTCCAGCAAACGTTGATGCACTCTAGTAAACACCTGAGTACTGGGGGTGGTGCGATCAGGATACCGATTCTGGTACTCTCTCTAAGCAGCCGACGCATTACCGTTACACAAACCATAAATAAAATGCATTTCAACATACTCCCGAATCGAAAAAGACATAGTTGACCGATTACTGTCCACATATGACTGATAGATCTTTTTAAAATATGACTACTGGTTCACTTGGTTTTCTTATCGCTTGGATAATGTTATCAGTAAAATACCTGAATCTATTGACTAAATCCATTCAACAAGATAGAAATTCCGGGAGATAATTTAAACCTTATATGAAAAATATACGATAACCGTAACTTTATCACAAAAACATTTTACTACTATGTTTCTTGTCTTAGCTTGGTAGTTATAAACAAAGCGTTGCATGCGAGAAAAAATCAAATTATTTGTTGCCTGCACTTAAATGTATTATTCTTCACAATAGATTTTCTTTGCCCTACCATGTTTTTTCACAATAATGATCGAATTACATTAGGAAATTTGAAATACGGTAAAAACTATTATACACCATTGTAAAGCCCTTTAAATAAGGAAGTTTTTAGTCATATTTGATAACCTCGCCGGAACTCAACAACCGAGAAATAAATTGATGAATGTTATTTACATATTCGTCGATATAAAAATAATTTGTTTAACGAAGAATTTTAAATAGAATACTAGCTGTGTACCCGTTCTACGCACGGGGATCTTATAATATTCAGTTGAAACCTTCTTATATAACGAACAGCAGTTGGTTTGCATATTTTAAGATATGCTGGCCAAACTATTATACATAGCTTCATTTTATGTTGTTTTTTGTTGTTCCGGATCGGTATGACAATCAATAAAAGGTTAAATTACCTCTGTGTCTGCCGGTCGATCCTATAACGGTAGGCTTACTTTTATTTTTACTATCTGATCTCGTTTGCATGGCTCAATCACGTCCTGGTTGAAGTTCGTTCGCTACGCTCACTCACCTGTATGTTGGAGCTCGTTCGCTGCGCTCACTTTCCTTCAGGTTAGCTCGTTCGCTACGCTCACTTGCCTTCAGGTTAGCTCGTTCGCTACGCTCACTCGCCTCCAGGTTGCAAATTAGCTGTTGTCATAAATGTAAAAGAAATAATAGTGCTAGTGCTGCACCCTGTTGGTAATCCTTGTAACTTTAATGCTATTGAACATCACAGAACAGAACCAACTTGTTTAATTGAAACAGCTGTTAAGATTCAATAATTTCATTTCTCATAAGGTTAACATGGGCTTCCAGAAATTCCACGTCAAAAATCGACAAAAACTTGATTTTCAAGGGTTTACTGTTAAATATCTAACTGTCTCATATTCGATGAAATACGTCTAAAACCATCTCATATATGTATAGTATTTGGAAAATAAGTTTCAGGCGGGACAGTGCTATAGTTATTGAGGAGTAGTTGTAATAAAGTGCGTATTTTAGCGTTACCAAGAGAATGACAGATAGACAGACAGACAGACAGACAGACAGACAGACAGAAATTGAGATAAGGTTTGATTCGGTTTCTCTGACCTATGAAATGTAAAAATAACCAAAAAGTTCATTATTCTAAGCAATGTACAGACAAAACTCTAATTTTATTTATATAGATTTTTCCGTACCCCAACGATTATGTGTTATATCTATTTAAAATTTTGTGAGGATTCTGAAAATGACATTGAAATTGACAGTAAGTGCATTTTTAACAGAGTAAAATAACCTTTTTCATAACAACTACAATAATTTTTGAAAAATCTTAATTTATTTTTTATTCTCTAACTGTTGAAGTTGGGAACCTCAAATTTGCGACATTCTGTCACCATTACCATGTAGTTTAATGCAAAATTTTATTTAACACTTATGACCGGACACCCTGTATACATGTTTTACAAAAAATTAACAAATTTGCAGCAAAAACCCAACATACATTTTTAAGTTTTTAGTTACGATCGAGAAGGAAATCGTATGGTAAAAATAATCCATGAAGTTTTATAGCTGTAAGAGAAAAGATTTAGCATTATTCAGCAACAGAAGATTTAACAATATTTTTTTATTTTCTCCTTTTGCATTAAGTTCTTTTACTGTATGCAAACTGGGGTTTGCTGTCCTTTAATTTAATTTATCATCAATCCTGGTGAATGTGTGGTTTTTTATTTTTATTTGATGAAAAGCAATGATTTTACTTAATATTTTTCGTAATTTTAGTTTTATTTTTGAAAGTTTGTTTCCCTACACCTTGTGTACTTTTAATTTTTTTTAATTTTCTTATCTACTTCTTCTCACAGGACCACTTCACATTTTTCAAAAGATCTAAGTTAATTAATTATTTACTGATATTTACAATTTTGGTATTGTTGGATTTTGGTATTGTTTGATTACAAATTAAAACCACCCAGAAACGCTTATTTTAAGTATTGTTAAAAATGTTTAACTTTATAAAATTTATTATTTTACGGTCAACTTTACAACATTTACCAAGCTTAAACACATTAAAAAGTTGTGTTACAACCTCCACGACTTGGAAGAAAAATCTTGGTAAAAGTATTTTGTTAAAGAACTATATGGTTAACATTTAGGTTAGTAGCTCATCAATCAAGGCAAATACCCCTTATATCCACTGGAACTTTTTTTATTATAAAACTAATCATATAGAAACCGAAAACATTAACTTAAGCTCTATAAATTCAATATCCTGAGAGTATTGGTTGAAGTTCATCCCACTCTGTGAATTTACGCTAAGATATTTACGCCACACTACACTATTTTGACGATCTTCCCATGCAAGGATTTAGTCCAGAAAACAACTGTTTGCCTATTGGTTGAAGTTCATCCCATTCTGTGAATTTACGCTAAGATATTTACGCCACACTACACTATTTTGACGATCTTCCCATGCAAGGATTTAGTCCAGAAAACAACTGTTTGCCGCCAGCTTAACCAAATGGGGTTTCATTGCGTACTACTGTACTGTAATGAGTTTTACTGGACACCAATCAGCTGATTATACTGTATTTGGGTGGCAATGAGTGGTTATAACAAAAACATAACCACCACCATTAGAGGTTATGACTAGTGATTTTTAGTCCTTTAATTGGTGGTAATATATAAGGATTTGAACGGATTAAGTAGTATGGCGTAAACTATCGTACGTCACTCGTCCAAAATGTGTTTACCGGACTTGTATAGTAATCCCGTACTCGACTTCGTCTCGCACGGGAACGACCACACTCGTCCGGTAAACACTTATTTTCAGGACTAGTAACGTAATATACTATTATGTCTAAGTGGACACAAACATTATCTGATGAAATATGTTGTGTTGCAGCATATATAAAGGTGGCGGCAGCTTTGTGTATCGTAGCGCTCATCACAGACGCCATCGCTACACTGCTAACCGGTCTTGGTCTTAGAAGCAAGGACCACCGCACCAAGTACAAGTACTACAGAGTAGCAGTCTACGTCATGATTGCCTCTTGTAAGTAAACAGATGTTCTGTTCTTCTGATTTTCTCTTGTTTAAAATAAATGCGTGCTGACTCTGGGTTTCACATACAGAAGCTCTCTTGTCCGTCATCTTTGGGACTGGGAGTAAGGTTGAAATGCAAAAAGATGGGATTATCTTGAAAAAGCGATGTTATGTATAAAAAGATTGTATAAGAGTTAAATTTGTATTATGAGGACAACAATAGGTTTTACATACCGTCAAAGTCTTAACGATTAAGATCGCTCAGTAGCTTATTCTTTGCAAAGACAACGTCTTCAAAGCTTGCATCTCGTAAAAAACAGGATCCAAAACAAACTTGAACATAAAGTGTTAATAAGTGATTTTTTTATATTTGAAATAAATGTACTGCACCCTTCTTTGTTGAAAACCTTACAGAAAATCACACAAAATCTGTAGTTATGTTTAAATAGCGTATTGCAAACTTAAAAAAAGTGTAAAAAGAAGAATACTGTCACAAACCCACCAAACAATATTAGTACCATCACCGAAAAATAAATAACTTAACTAGTTAAAACCGCAATGACTGATCAGATAGAAGAGAAAACGGAGCCTGGAAATAGATGAAGAACTCATAAATAGGTATGGAAAACAGAAACAAGCATAACAAAATTAAATTAAAAGTAAATGAAGTGGGGCAGAAAATGAGGCGCCGATGAGTCAGAACAGATATGCGATCTTTAGTCTGACCAGATTTAGCAAAGTGGTGGATGAACTGGGGTTGTATGAGAAAGGTTGTTCTGTACCTTAACTGACTCTAACTCGCGAGGACATTGAACTTGTTCTGGACACACAAAGAAAGTTACAAAGATGAGATTTTTAAGAATTATCCTAGTAATAGAAAAGAAGCTATACATATACAACGGTATACCTCTCTTTAAAGGGGATGAAATTACTTAAAAGTATCTTTAAGTATGATAATACAAGTGTATTCAACACTGGAAATTGCTCGAAGCAAGAATTTCAGTTGAAAAAAAATTTAAGTACCTATCAATTAAAACTATGCAGTTATAAAACTTTGAATGTCATTCGATATTATTTGTTTCAGTGGTGGCGACACTGCTCGCCCTGGTCGTCTATCCAGTCTGTTTCGCTGCCGAACTCACTGAAGGTTGGTATAATTGTAATTTTTTATAGTTAACATTAAATTCTAATTTTAAAAATTTTGTTTTACGCCATACTAAGTGTTGAAATTTCATCTCTAATAATGCATTTCCTGCCAACCAGTTTCAAAAATGTGTCCATATGATTTAAAAGTAAATACGCTATAACATTTTGTTAGTGAAATAATTGATGAATGGAGATTACTATAAATTATTTTATGTATGAAAACCAATATTAACTGGAAGTTGGTTTATGAAAATGCCATAATATTAATCTGTTTTGTTGGAGTAAGCCCTTAAGGAGTTAGGTTATCAAAGTTATCAAAAGAGACCTATTTCTATGTAAATAAATTGGAGACCCCAGAAATGTCGTTTGTCTATCAGAATATATACATCTACCTTTTGAATAACATTTATAAATTTCTTTTTTCATAGTTATAAGAACCTCTGGTGAAACATTTTTGCACGTTTTCCTCCAATTGTAATACTATTACACTTTTATAAAATTTATTTTTTATATGAAGTTTGATTTGTAATTTGTATTTCTATTTAACAATATTTTGTGTTATTAGATAAAGTTCACTATGGAGTAACTCATTATAGTGAGTACAAAGGCAAACCTCTGGTTTTGGAACAAACTAACAAATTTCATTAAAAATAGGCCTATATTAAATGTTTTGTGTTCTGCCCTATAATGAATTGCCACTATTTTGGGACTTTAGATGTATTTGCCTTGTATGCTTTCCTAGTAGCAAACCTATTGCGATTTTCTATGACAAATTTTATTTAATGTTTTTTTTTTTTGTGATCAAGATCTCCAATACTAAAACATTTTGCCAAAAAGGTGTATACTTTTTTACTCCGGTGGGCGTACAGCGTAAGTTCGGCTCCCAACCATAAAGTCACAAGATTATGTTATATCATCTTATTATGAACGTTCTGTAATTGTCGCATACCTTTAAAAAGAAATGATTTACTAAAATGCAGTTTTACATTAGTTCATAAAGTACGGTACTTTTATTCAATGAGAAGGGTAAGAGAGATTAAAGTGTCTTGGTAATTTTTTATCCAAATTATTAAAATCTTTTATGTTTTGAGTCCCCCACACTGTTGTTAAATGATTACTTAAACTTGACGTTGTTTCCCAAATCTGAAAATTAAAATTAGCATTTTTTAACTTACTCAACTGTTTAATAGCATAAAAAATTGTATATTCAAAGCCAATAGCCGAGTATTCTACTGACATCCTAAATTTCCTATAATTACGTTAAAATATTTATGAATTAAATAAAATATTATACAGTGAGCCTACCATCATGAGCAGAAATTGTAAAATGAAAGCTTTGCTTACTTTATTTTATTACTGGCTCACATCCATTAAGTAAATTAAGACATGTCTTTTAATTTCAACCAAACCAACGAGAGAGGTTGAAATAGCACTGCAGGGAAGCAGAATTTTCTGTTAACAAACCTAATTGCAACCTGAATGATGTAACAATCGAGTTTGATGAACAAATGCTGCTTGGATGCTTGTAAGCCACAAAACCTATCCGCTAATTTGATCATTTTGTGTGGGTTTTGCGTACTCTTTTAGAGTGTGTTTTATACTTACGACTTATTAAGGGTTCATTGTAAAATTTGTTAACTTAAAAAAAATTACTTGAAGTGTTCAATCTAAGTGTCAAAATAAATTATAAATAGCCAGTTGGTAATGTTTACAATCATGTTTTGAGCTGTTCCAGTTAATATTGAATAGTTGAATGCTAAAATAGTCGAGGCTGCGAAAAACCACTTAAATTTTTTTATTTTACCTATAGCACAAGGAAAAGTAAAATTACCTCATATACAAAAATATTGTTAATTATATAATAAATAATGGCGTATGCCATTTTACTAATTAATGAAAACTGAAACCCTCTGAATTCAACAAGATGTTCTTTAAGCGAGCCCTTCTCTAATCAAAGTGCTCTTTTTAATTAACTGAAGTGATTCTTTGTTATCACAGAGAATCAAAAGAAAATAATGAATAAGACAATGGTGATTCTTTGTTGAACAGTTTCATTAACTAATTATACTGCTTTTCGGCTTTGGAATGATGTTTGCGTTTAAAAGATTCAATAGAAGATAAATTACTATATTGAAAATATCTGTTGATTTTACATATTTTCTCCCATTAGTTATGTTGCCTTATCACCAGGTTTTTACGTGATAGGTTAATTTAAAACATTTATTTATTACCAGATTACAATAACAGTAACGTAACCGTAAGTGAACCCAATTGGCCGTCAAGTTCAGAGGTTTTCAAGAACACCACTATTCATTCTGTTCTTCCTCTACTTCGTATTCTTTCCACATATTCAGATTTTTCTCCCTACTTTTTTGACTCCATCCAGTAGCTCTGGCTTGGAGTCAAGCATGATTGGTCTTACTTGCAACTTCTTCCAATAGGCCACTCATATTGCAGCTCAGTTTGAAAAGTTTATAGTGAAGAGGAAGTCAACCATTCTCACTCTGATGTCTTACTCTTGTAATATTTTAGTATCAGAGTGCTTATGGTGCTTACTAGCCACTGATCAGAAGCTTTGATCCTGATGTAAATAGCATTTTTTATAGTTTAAAACTGGACCATATCTTTGATCATGGGAAAACAAATGGTTCTGGCAATAAAACCAACTGATGCTATTCATTCAAGCTAAACCATCATTCATTGAACTCTTATCCTCCCCCTTAACACTCAATGGGGCGCTTTCCGAGTTTAAGTCTGCACATTAAGATTTTGTCCAAAAAAAAACAAAAAAAAAAACTATTTAATTGATGTTGCCAATTGTGTCTGACTTTCTACTTGACACGCCACATTTCTGGATTTCCCCAAAACAATGTTTACACTCACTCTTCCCCTAGGTTCAATCTGAGATGCAAGTAAATGAGTGCAGTTGCGAAGGTTTTCTCTGTGTTCCCTATCTAGATTTTGTTTGATTTCATACAAATTAATTTACATATTTGTTATTACAAATGAAAGAGTGTAAAAATCTCCTAAAATATGACTCTCCTGTTACATGATTAGTCTGCTATCAAAAATTTTTTTTCAGATGTAAAACTGCTTCATTGCAGAAAAAATCTCTGCATCGCCCCTCTCCCCGTATTGCCGACCTTAAAAATCACTAAACTATTTTAAAAACTCGTTATTGTTTTTGAGATATTACTCATAAATAGTTGTTGTATAATTTATGTTTTGATATAAATTGGTTCCTCATAAATTTTAGTTAGAAGTTTAGAACTTAACTGAAAAATTATGTGATAAAATCAAATGAAATTGAACTAATTTGCATGATTTTGTGATGCAGGAAAAACTTCTGCAAACACCCTCTCACGATTTAAAGATCAAGGGGCCCGCTTAACACCCCTACTTATATTTATGTCGTAAAAATGCAACAAAATCTAACAGACTGTTTGGTGTTCTCAGGTAACAGACAAGTGTGGGAGTTCGGCTGGGCGTACGGCGTAGGCTGGGGCGCCGCCATCTTTCTGTTTGGCGCGGTGGTCCTCCTGCTGTGTGACAAGGAGTCCGAAGAGATCTACTACAAGGAACGCAAGGTCCAAGCCTAGTGCATTCAAGCCCTGCCTGATGTGGTGCTATAACATTAGGCAGGGGGTCGCGTGCTGCCACGGCCTCGTCAACACTGAGTCACTGGGTTCGAATCTAAATCATGTCTTTGTAACTATCACAATAGGGCTGAACTGACAGTTTGTAAGCTTTGAAGGATTTTATCAAGTGGGATGGCTTAGGACGGTAACAGTTGTTACAATTGAGGTGAAAGTTATGAGTACAGTCGGTTGTGTTCGTCTGAAATATGAATCATGAACATCAAGGTTAACATAAGGAAGGTGTTGATTAAGCTGTCACACGTTGATTCTTGTGACTCTAAAAATAACTTTTCTGGAGGGAGAAATAATCCCCTCCAGACTGGTTAGACTGGGGGACTGGTTAAGGTGTTTGTTTTCAAATTTTATTTTTTTTTATAAAAAAATAGTTATTTTTGTACGATTAAAACGAGTTAAAGCACAGATATTGAGATGAGTTAAGAGGTTACTGATTGTTCTACCAAATTCTAATAAAGGGAATAAGTAATGTAATTTATTAAATTCATTCATGGATACTGGCAATGCAGCATGTTAAATTAAACTCAGTCAAAGAAATAATCTTCCATAACATGTGTATCTTCTTTTACTAGTACTACTTTTACTACTTTTCTTGTATAGAAAAAAACATGCACCAGAATTCAAAGCTTTAAAACTTTCAGAACAGATAAACAGTACGGTAATACAACTGTAAATTTACTAAAAGCATTTTTTACAAAAAATTATCATAAGCATGACAGCTTTATAAGGTACTATTAGCTGGTTTATGAAACTTTACAAAACATCCGAGCATTATCAGAGTTTATCGTCTAAAATAATTACGGCTTGAAAAATAATCGAAAACATGTTCTAAGCTACCTAGTTACCCATTTTAAGAATCCAAAGATACATGTTTGAATTCATGAACAGTATTCAAAAAAATGTTCAATCATTACATTGTACTTATACAAAACAATTGATACTGAACAAGACCCGTCGACTTCCCAGTGACTTGATATGGTAAGGCCGTGACAGCAGTGCTCACTCTAGAACGACATATCGACCATGTAGTGTTCAAAGGTTGCTCAAAACTATGAGCATGTGACAGATGCTCATATGTGAAAACAATTTTTCAAATTTTTTTACCCAAGGAAAGTTTTTAGTTTTCACCAGTGATATTTAGTTTCTTTTCTGGTAATTTTTCTCCTGTCGATCTGAAATTCTGACACAAAAGTTTTGCGTGCGTACTTAACAAAGCACATAATCGTAAGTCCAAAACCAAACCACTGTTCGAAAGTTTAACTTTGTCAAAGTGGAACTATTTTTTCAAATCGGAAACCTTTGAGCACTGCGGGTTTTTTCCTGATAGAGTCCAGATGTAAGTAGACACTGTGTGATAGTCCCTCCTAAGTTGTACATAACCCTCAGCACAAATCTAGAATCTTGGGTTCGTTTCGGCTGATAACTTTTTTTAACGAGTGATTTACGAAAGTGTTTCAAATTCTGATTGTACAGAAACGGACTGTATTTTATATGCCTGATCAATTACCAGTGTTTATTACTGGCAGATTTACTACGGTTTTAGCCGATTTTTCTGTCACCGAAAATTGTGTTCAAATTCAGTGAATTTTAGCCTCGTGGCTATTTAGTTTTTGTGTGAACAAATAATTTAGTTTTCATTCAATGTAGTTATGTTCAAAGTACAAAATGTTCAGTTGTGAATGTAATAGATTACAATAGTGTAATGTGCCACTATGTAAACTACAAACTTTTATCGAACAAATTTCTCTTGGAAATTACTTTCTTTGCTGAATTCATAATGCAAGGGAGTTTGACTCTTAAGCTATTAGAGTATTACATTTCAATTTTCAGTATCATAATTGTGTGAGTATTCTTGTTTTAGCCGTACATGATTTTAAACGAGATATAGCCAATGAAAAGTGAATAAAAGCTGTTAGTTATTTATGGAGATTTTAAAATATTTGTTATTGTTATGCAAAAATTAGTCAAACAGTTTCAGTTAGTTAGGAATGTATAACATGTTAAACAATATTTACAAGCCTGAAATTTTACATTGTTAGGAGTGAGAGTGTTTTGTTTTTGGAAATGGTTGTGTACACCTACTCAAGTACCTCGTTCGAAGTTATTTTTTTTATGTAATGAAACAAAAATAAAGTTATGTTAAGTAATAATACGACTCCCTCTAATCAGCAAATTATTTGTACAATGTGTATGTTTAAAAATATCTTTTCAACTTCATGAAAATAGAGTAAATATTTAGCTCACTCCAAATCATCAGGTTGTGTAAATAAGTGGATTATTTATTACTCAAAGAACAAATCTATAAGATATTACTTTTGCAATAATGTGATATTTTGTGTTCCTGTGTATATATATAGGTACAATTATTTTTGTGACATGAGTTGAATTTTAGAAAAGTCATGACTACTTTATAGTTTACTAGCTGTACCCGCGGGCTTCGCCCCGTTTAACTTCATAAGTATTCGCATGGCTCATTCACGTCCTGGTTGAAGTTCGTTCGCTACGCTCACTCACCTTTAGGTTGGAGCTCGTTCGCTGCGCTCACTTGCATTCCGGTTAGCTCGTTCGCTACGCTAACTCGCCTCCTGGTTGAAGTTCGTTCGCTACGCTCACTCACCTTTTGGTTGGAAATTAGCTGTTGTCATATATTTAAAAAAAAATTAATAGTGCTGCACCCTGTTGGTAATCCTTTTAACTTTTATGCTATTGAACATCATAGAACAGAACCAACTTGTTTAATTGAAACAGCTGTTAACATTCATTAATTCCTTTTAAATATGAAAAATCATAAGATTAACATGGGGAACTACAGAGCCACTGGGGCGGAGCCCGAAAGGGTTTTTGAGATAAGAATATGCTTTAATGTTAATCGGGAATGTGAGCTATTATCATGCAAAATTTCAGCCCAATCCGTCCAGTAGTTTATGCGTGATTGAGCAACACACACACAAACACACACACAAACATACACACAAACATACACACAAACTCACAAACTTTCAGATTTATAATATTAGTAAGATGTACACTAGAAAGGAATGCACAATTTTCTCAAGGTTGTCAATATTTTGGCTGCTACTCATGTATTATTTTTAACACTGTACATTCAAAAAATTGTAAAACACTTTCCTGAACTACTCGTATGTGTTTCGAGTTGTATGAGTTCCAAAATACTAATTATTGAGAAATTTTAAATCAATAAGTAATTTATTATTTGAAGATGGTATTTTATCCAAGAAAGGTGATATTTTTTATAGGGAGACAGTGTGAAGAAATATGACAGACAAATAGTAATGCTGGTTAACCATATTACTGCCCAGTTTAACGGACACTTGTTTAAAGGTGAAAGAATACTGGATTGTAGTAGATTGTTAGTCTCTGTCGCTGATTGGTCTTTATTGAGATCAGCTCTGCCGCTATTTCTAGACGTTGATTACAGGTATTTGTTATTGTAAACATTATTTTATTTGCATTTACATAAACTTGCATCCATAATCAATTTTGTTTCAAAATGTTTAAAATGAGTTAAAGCTCAGTTTATCCAACACCTGTTTTAAGGGTAAAGACTTTATGAATTGCTAAACTATCAATATTTAACTGTTGTGTATGTAGTAGAGACAAAGCTTTAATTTACGTTTCTTAAGCTTTTCAACGGTGGAGCTGCAAGGTTTTGTGGCTGTGAGTTTGGAGATGGTTTTGCGATCACGTAGAATAAGATTGTACATAAATCCTTCATCAGTTCACCAATGCTTTTATACGAGAGCAAATCAACAAAGTATGATGTTTTATACTACATTAATTGTAAATAAGTTTAAAATATCGTTTCGATCAAAAAGCGAAAAATATCTAGGGAAAGTTACCTAATGCCAATTTTTCCACCTATCACCAGTTACTGTACCAAATGTTTATCCATTGTTGTTTGTAGCTTTTACTACAAACGTTTATTTATAGATGTTATTATTTAGTTTATACTTCTACTGTCAATCTCTATGCAGATCGTTTTATTTATTTCATTCCTAATATTTATTTACTGTAAACAACTTACAGTGCTTCCTGTCACAGCTCTTATTTGATATTACTCTTATTTGATGTCCTATCTTCGTTAGTTTATTATTTGGTGTTGTTAAATTTTGACGCACAATTGTATATCTGTATGATAATATATGAATAAGTGTATTTTAGTTGACCCAATGTTGTAATAATGTAGCATATTATTTTAACCTCAGATTTTTTAAATTTATTTATTTGTGTACACTTTTGCCTTCCAATAAGCTGGACCTTCAAAGAATAAAAATTAACAAATGCTAATAATTTTGTTGTTGTTTTACCAACCTTCTACTGTGGTAGTGTATTTACTTATGAATAATGAATTATTTTATTTCCATTAAAAAATTACAAATTAAAAACAATTTTACTTTTTGAAATATAACTGACCACTTTATCATGGTTGTGATTCAGTAGGTCAGCACAACAAGTAATTGTTTAACAACACTACCAGCCTATTCACACAACATTGCCAAACACTTCCTCTTTACAATATTTGACCCTCCTATTACAGTTGTGTGGTCAGTAGAGAAAATTATTAACAATCTAAAAATAAACATTAAACCAGCCTAGCTCAACGTAAAAAATGACACCTGCTCTTTGTGATGTTTGACAATCCGTTTCTTGATAAAGCTAAATACTTAAACTAAACAACTATTTTAAAACTATTTTAGTATATTGTTACATTTTTAACTTTTTGCACTTTTTGTCATCTTTGTCGTTGATGTAATTGAGAACTATTTCAACATCAGCTTTCTCTGTACCAGCTCGGAATCACTATATTTTAATTCCAAAGCTGCAAGGTACCTCTATACACCACAACAAACTACAATTCAAGAAAACAAAAAGGCTAATTTTGGCCAGTGTTGCATTCCCAAGGTTCGATTGTTGTTCTGTTGGGTAGTACATACCACTTGACCATCAGAGTGACATGGACTAACAGTGTGAACTTGAAATTGTTGTGGCTAGTATAACGGGCCACCCAACCAGTTAAGACAACCTAAAAATAGTCTTTTGTATTGTAAAATGTTAAAGACAAATGATTCACCTTCTAACTTAAAATTTAAAATTTTTAGAACATATTTTTTTAGGTTTAGATTGATTTGTGGACATTCAAAAATAAAATTGATTATATCAAAGTACCTAGTTACCAAATTAATCTCTACCATTCTAGAGAAAGCTTTTTAGCTAATTTAAATTAAATAGCATTGAAATTATTAGTCTTCTTTGTGACATTTCCTTGCAGAACATCAAAGGTAATTCCTAATATTATCCCTCAAAACTATGAAAATTTTACAGAATAACAAGGATAAACTTGCTACATCTGATCAAGGACAAAAAAAAAAACACAAAATTGTTGTTCCATTTTATATAATGGATCAATTTGTCAAGAATAAAACAATTATTGGGTGTGGTGTGGTATAATTAGTTTTTAACTCAAAAAATCTTTGTGATGTGACCAAATGTTAAAACTTCGAATCTGCAGTTTCAAGCTTCATAGCTGTAGAGTGTATGCTGGAAACCCAGCTTTTGAAGGCTCCTGAATGTCGTTTAAGAAGTAGGCAACTCCAGCTAGACCTGAAACAGAATTGTGTACTGTAAAACATAATTCTTACATGCATTTAACAGGTGAAACAAATCTACGTTGAATACTGTTTTTTATATATATAACTAGCTGTAACCCGCGGGCTTTGCCCCGTGTAACTTCTTAATTTTCAAGATTATCTCGTTCGCATGGCTCAATCACGTCCTGGTTGAAGTTTGTTCGCTACGCTCCCTCACCTTTAGGTTGGAGCTCGTTCGCTACGCTCACTCACCTTTAAGTTGGAGCTCGTTCGCTACGCTCACTCACCTTTAGGTTGGAGCTCGTTCGCTGCGCTCACTTGCCTTCAGGTTAGCTTGTTCGCTACGCTAACTCGCCTCCAGGTTGAAGTTCGTTCGCTACGCTCACTCACCTTTTGGTTGCAAATTAGCTGTTGTCATAAATGTAAAAGAAATAATAGTGCTGCACCCTGTTGGTAATCCTTGTAACTTTAATGCTATTGAACATCATAGAACAGAACCAACTTGTTTAATTGAAACAGCTGTTAAGATTCAATAATTCCATTTCTCATAAGGTTAACATGGGAAACTCCAGAGCCACTGGGGCGGAGCCCGAAAGGATTTTTGAAATAAGAATATGCCTATATGTTAATCGGGAATGTGAGCTATCATCATGCCAAATTTCAGCCCAATCCGACCAGTATTTTTCGAGTTTACTTTTCCATACACACATACACACATACAGCAACCACCTCTTTTTTATAATAGTATAGATTTGGGTATTTTGCAATGTTAACCCTTTGCGGTCGAATGGCGAGTATAGGTTGCCGCCCGCCATTTTACTAACTGCTCAAAAATGGCAACCTACAAGGACCCAAAAAAAAAAAAAAAATATATATATATATATTCAAAAATCAAAAAAGTTAATTTTTTGGTCAAATGGCGAGTATAGGTCGATGGGTGCCATTTACCTGACTGCTTGAATGGCAAGCTAAATTTACCGGAAAATGTGGAAAAAATTCGAGCTCAAAGGGTTGACTGTAGTTGACGTTTTTTTTTCAAAATTTTTAAACAAACTTACCTTCGAAGAGCGAAAACGGTCGGTCAGGCTTCATTTGTTCATGTTTGGGAAGGGAAAGACACCAATCAGCAAAACATCCTGCTCGATAGAGATGCTTTACATCCTGCAACCAATAATATTCTGGTTTGAACTATACGCTACATCATTTTCCAAATACATATTTTTAACCAAGTAATTTAAAGCAATTCACTGAAATATTTTTTTATTGGGTCATGTTTGGCAACATCAGAGTGTACTATGTTTTCTTTCTCTTTCACTAACTTTTAAATTGCTTTGTTAGATTATCAGCAAAAAGAAATGAGAAATTGGTAAACCAAAAATTAATCATCAAAATAAAGACACTATGTGTACCACAAATTTCACATGGATACAGATACAATAAAGCAATGGTTAGCATTACAATTGTCAGGATAGTACATTGATACAATGTGGTCCTCGGCTAATTTCAGAGAGCCATTTGTTTTGTACAAATCAGCAAATAGCCCTAAAAGGTTAGGAGACCAGCTAATAAATAACTCAATATTATTTTATTATATGTTATATATTATGCTATCTCTACTGACCCCAGTGAGTTGGTAGAGTTGCAGGAAGGTGTAAGCATTGCCAGAGACTCCATGACAGATACTGTAGCCTTTGGTACACAACCCTCGCTTCCACACAACCTCGCCAGCCTCCAGGGCTAGGTTGCGGTAACGGTCATCACCAAACTCCTGCAACACCATCATAGTCAACAGGTACATATTCTTTTATAAATACAAAAAATGGGTTTCCATCCTGTTATATTATGTTATATGATGCTACTAGGCTCTAGCAAAACGATCATGATTAACTACATCTGTTTCGTGCTGTGAAAATGGAGCATATCTTCAGGTTCCTTGCTAAGGCTTCTTTTATGCACGACGTTTTCGGTCGGGCGGAATCATTGTCCATTTTATGCAGTTTCTCCGCCGAGCGGAATCTGCTAGTTTTTTATGATGCCCGCGGTGGGGGTAGTCATTGCTGCCAACTTTGTTCATTTTTCCATCGTCAGTGACCCAAGATGGATCCTTGTTTATTGGTTTATACCTATTTGTGCGTAAAGAAAAATATACGACGGCGATGGAGGTGGGCTGAACAGTGTACACCCGGTGAATGAAAGTCTTAGGGTTGGCAGCAATGACCGTGTTGGCAGTACTGCAGGGTTGCCAATGAGATGGTGTGATTGCCTTTTGTACAACAATTCCCATATTAATCCCGGGTAAGCCTATACCTTTGATACAAAAATGCCCATGTCAGTCCCGGGAATAAAGTTGTATTATTTCTACGAAACAGCAAGTTTGTATTATTCCGCGGATTTAAACAAAAATGTAATTCTCACGCAGTAATTTTCCCCTACATCTCTTTATTTGTACTCATCAATCAGTTACAACGAATAAGGATAATCTATTTACAATGATTAGGCGATTTCAATACTGTGGATGACAGAGCGTGGGTAGGTTGGCAGCACTACATTCCGCCCGACGGAAAACGCAGTTACATAAAAGGGTTCCATTTGAACCTATGTAAAAACACGCTCCGACAAAACGCCGAAACTCGGCGGAGTCTAGGTCCTCCGTCTGCCTCTGACGGAACGCTGAAACGCGACGGAGATTCCGTCGTGCATAAAAGGGTCGCATTTGAACCCTTAAAACACTCACCGACGGAAAGCCTGATAGATTCTGATAGATTCCGCCCGACGGAAAATGCCATGCATAAAAGAGGCCTAGTGTTCCTTAATGGTGGAGTTTGTATGGAGATAAAAAAAAACAAAAAATTTCACATACCAGACTAAACATTTTAATAAACTGTTAAGTCAGACACTGATAGGGAATGAGATGTAGCGCCGGTGGATGTTAAGTCGCGACTGTCGGCCTAGAGGGTTGTAGCATTATCACATAGCTATTGCTGTTTGGCGGGACTTGAACCTTGGCCTCACTCTTGGTAAAAATAGAGTACTATTAAAATTTTCCAAACAAGCAATAACTCCAAAGAGGACGAATTTAGTAGAAAACGTTTTGACATCCTTTGCAACACATAATCCTGACAATAACGTTCATATTTTGTCAACATGGATGTCTTAATATTTAAGTTGACATTCAGCTTAAAGGCCTAACCGATTACTCCAAAGAATGACGAGTTAGGAAAAAAACGTTTTAACATCACCTTGCTGATGATTTTCTTACATATTATTTTGTCAAAATGGATGTCCCAATTTAAGTTGACATTTAGCTTAAGCCCTAACAAGGTCAAGGTTTGCGGGCTAACATATCTCCTATACAGTAGACTCCCTCTTATCCGGACACCTTTTAACCGGACTACACTCGGCGGAAATGACATCTCTTTAACCGGAAAATTTTTATCAGCTATTAATTTAACCGGACTAGATTGGCAGGAAGTGGGCGGTACTGAAACAACTGTTCTCAAGGGAAAGATTTGAGACCAGTGATCACGTGTCTAAATACAATTCTCTCCTAAATTTAAGTCGAATATCACAGTAAACGGTCCGTTTGAACAAGTTTTTAGTGACGAAGGTTTAACCAGAAAAACCATTATCCGGACTGACCTCGGTCCCGAGGAGTTTGAATAAGAGGGAGTCTACTGTATTCTTAAATTCCAAATTATGTTAAAACCATCTTTAGAAAAACCTATACAAATTTAATGAGAGGGTTTGGACTGTCCATTTAACGATATTACATTATTTATTCTGATTGGCCGCCAGAACTATTTTATACATAGTGTATTGTTTTACATACAAATTTTCTATAGCTATGACTCATCCTTGTATTATGGCTTGGAAAAAATCTGAAACTCAAATCACAATGAAGAGTCAGGTGTTAAAAAATTGTGCATACTCGTAACTAAATTATCAATCAATATCCAATAAATGATCCTGCTTTTTTAGGTTAATCAATTAAGTTAGCAATGTTACTTGCCTTGTAGGCTGTGGCAAGTAAATCAGCAAACCCAGGAGCCCCGTGGCACCACTGGACGAGTCTGTCGCTCCTGCTGCCTTGCGATGAAGGAAAGTTCCCAGAGGGTAATCGTTCACCAATCAGACTGTCTAGTGTCGGACGAATAAGTTCAGCTTTGTCTTGTGACGATAAAACGCCAGACTGAAACATTGGGTTGTATTATGATTTGAAAATGTATAAGTTAAAACTGAATAAACCTAGATTGGGATGATTTTATTGTTAAATTGAAATCCCAAAACCATATTTAATATTTATGAAGGTGATTAATGTTTTAAAAATATGTTTAGAATCAAGATACAGGAACTGTACCAATAAACTACGGCTATTGCATTAATGCATTAATTTGGTGAGTCGGTGGCTCAGTTGGTAGCGTCACGGACTTCGGGCCCAAGGCAGTGATGTCGTGGGTTCGGATCCTGGTCACTGCCACTAAAATTTATCAGTACAGTTCACCTTCATACCCTTTGCTTTGCTGAATACGTTCCACGCACAGATCTGTAGTCTATGTGGACGGGCAATGCAAGGTTATAAGAGGCAGCCAACCTCTTTAAAAAAAATTAATATATTATTAACATAACAATAATAGTTAGAGTTAAACTCCGTTCATGACATTTAGGTGACTTGAGGGGAAGTTTCTCCACTACCTTTTTTTGCCAAATGTATATATAGGTAACAGCTGATTGACGTTTTGGCAAACCTCAGCTGTAGAGCTATTGTTCTAAAGGTAGGATCAAAAGTAGAGGGAATAGATTTCTTCTCCTAAATTCGGAACGGCATATAACAATAAAGTTGTGAAGAATTTAACTTTTTTGTATTACATTTAGAAATTCAGGTAAATCAAAACCAAACTACTTAATATACATTACCGGTAAATGAGGTATACAAATTTAAAAGAGGATGAATATTATTGAACAATAAAAATTACAATAAGCCTAAATCAAATAGTAGCAAACTTACAGTACACAAAATACAAGTTAGTGACTCATCCAACTACATTCTATTTTAATAAATAATTAGCTGAAAATGGGATTTGCAGTTCAGTATCAACAAGTAAAGTGTTACACAACACTCTCAAACCACTTCCCCAGCTCACCATAAACATCAAGTACAGTATACCGGCGACCCCGTGAGCGGCACCGAGGTAGTTCTCATCATACCACTCGAACTCCAGTGGTACTCTGCTGCGGTACTCCGCACTGCGCGCAGCCCCTGACCGCAGCACCGCAGCCACCACCTGTAAACACACAGCGACATCGCACTACAGTACCTGCAGCAGTAGGTAGAGTATGCCAGCGGTGCCGTGCGCCGCCCCGTAGTAGTTCTTGCCGTGCCACTGATAAGCTAATGGCGCTTTGCTGCGTATCAACGATGCTCGAGCCTTTCCAGAGGACAGGACCACGCCAACTACCTGTGCATACCAGTCTTAGTATGTTGATAGCCATTGTCTCAATGTAGAAAACCATCTTCTCAACATCGTTGCAAACTATTGCTCAATATCACTGGAAAATCAGTATTGTTATAAATTAAATTAACCATACCATTGTTTTAATAACTAAAAGGATTAGTTTAATTGTTTGTGTATAAGTTTAAATGGTTAATGAGAGATTTTGAGAAGAAGTTTTAGAAGAATTATCGAGCTTCGATACTTTCCTATATGGCTGAGATTATGTAGGTTAATATCTTTTTAATTACCGTACATTATGGAGTAATTAGGGGAATGGAGAGTTTTATGTCTTTTTTTAAGGAAATTGTGAAACTAAAAAAAATCTATTTAATTAACAAGTGTAACTATTTTTAACACATTGATTAGTAAACAGTTGTTTGCTCTCGTAGAGATAAATCTGTGTTTTTTTATACTAATTGAATACACAGTTCTATTTAATTAAATAATTTGATAGCTGTTAAATATTAGCATACACTAATTCAAAACACAAAAGCCTATACATTTTTGTTTATTCCTCAGCTATTCTGCTAAAGCTAATAAAATAGAAAAAAGATTTGTTAAAATGCATGATAATACACTAACGGTAGGCTACTGTCATGTTAAAAAGAACTGTTCTTCCTTTTACAATAAATTTTAGATTTTATATTTTTATCTGAAACTATAGTTTTTTTTATTTTTTTTTATGTAGCGTACCTTATTAGTAGAGAGTGCCAGATCCCACTTGTCTTTGTTATTAACGTTTAATGGCTTACTAGATATTTTATTGTGGTCATCTAATACAGTTAGCTGCTAAACAAAGCAATATCAATAATTATTGAATAAATAATGTTTAATCATGCATTAATTTATTACAGTAAATTACTATATAGTAAGAAGCACTATCTAGGTGCTAAACCTAGGCTAACTAACCAGAGGTGCCCACCACCCCCGAAGGTCAGGTGCGCAATCCCCCTCCCCCCATTTCATACCAATCCTACACAACCCCATAGCTTATCACCTACCCCCTTTCAACACCAAAACCAAAATCTCGAGAATTCAATGAATATAAAACCAATTAATAATTGTCAAAACTAAATGTAATTGCGGTGATATTAAGAGCATCAGAGCATCCCTCAAGATCTCAAAGACATTGTGCTGTTGCGACGATCATTTGTTATTATCAAACACAAAAATTGTGTTGCATAGTTAAGGGAGGGTACAAATTTAACATAAAACTGAATAAATTATCAATGGCAATGTGTCAAATAAAAAACCCCCAAAATCTCAGTCCCGCACTTGCGCCATAGTCCCTTCTTCTGGGCACCTCTAAGAGTAACAATGTAATACAGTAGACCTGAAAAACTAAATACTTTAAAATGGCGATTAAAATAGTTGTGCACATTAAAATAACAGATACTTTATCATTTTTTCTTAAATTTTGCATCAAACAATTATTTTACATTATTTGGGAAATTTATATTAAGTTTTCCTTTCAGTTGAATATAAGCTTTCTATGGTCATTATTCATACAATTTGACCAAACTAGACAAAACTGATTTTGTTTGAAATTATAACAAACTAAACAAATTTTATGTATAAGGCCCAAATCCTTTTTTCTCTAAAGTAATTTGGTCAACCAAACACTGCATGAACATGGAGAAAATCTTTTTATTCATTATTTATATACTATGTGGGTGCCAAAAGCAGTTGTATAGTAACCTCCAGAAAAAAATAATAGGAATAAGATAAAAAGAAATTCTATTATTTTAAAAAATTGAAGTTAAATTACCTTTTTGATTGCGTTTATATCTACGGACTGAGGCCCAAGATGTTTTCTGACAAACATGAGAGAGTAAAGATACCCGACTCTTCCGTACAAACACTCATCAGGCATCTCTGGGTTACTGGCGATCACATCATCCAGTGCAGACGTTAATCTAGATAAAAACATTGTAAACTGTAGGCTAATAACAATAGTTTAACTGCACACTTACAGATATAAAAAGGCTAAATTTAATATTTGTTAACAATCCAGACTACTGTGAATAAAACAATACTACTGTACTTTCCTCTTTCCTTCCAATCCTGATTTTAGTATTTGTGTGAAATGGTCTTAGCGTAGCTAAACATAATCCCTCTTGGATACAATAGGCTATAATACCTCTGTCATTGGTTATGATTTGATAAAAACGCATACTAATAAACATGATTGGTAAAATGGGGTTTGAACCTTGAAGGCAACTCGAACCAAGTGTACAGTGATTACGAATACAGTACTGTAGTCTCTAATACCTCAATAGTCAATGCTAATACTTAACCCCATCATGCATCATGCAAGCCAACAGCAGCAAGTACATTGCGGACCAATGTGATAGGAAGGATATTGCAAGCATCACTGATTTGTTTCCCAAATGAAAATAAGCTAAAGTAAATATAACAGATTTGTTCCGGTTAGTCAGCGAAAAAAAGCTTTATAGTTGAAACTTGTATCAAGGGCAAAACCCTTAAGTCATATTTTATTTAAAGACATGTTACAGTAGGAAATAATACACTTATAAAAACTATATATACTGTAGAACAGAAAGTAAAGTGTTTATAAAACCCTAAGACAACACACTGATAACCTTTTTCAGACAACCAAAACAAGTGGCAAAACGTTATTATTGGTTGGCTAAGCAACTGGCTGGACACACACACAATGACACTCTGACGATTGTATTTGGCGAAGTTAAAGAAATGCTGAGACTGATAGGGATAGTTATAAATCCGGATAGAGTAGAAGTTTCCTAATACGGCACATTCAGGACTTTGGTGGTGCCGGATTAATGGAAATACTGGATGACTGAATGTCTTCTAAAAACAGCTGATATTGAGAGACAGGCAAAAATTCTGCTGATTTTAGAGCATTTTGCTGATTGCTCCCCACGCCTGCCAATCGCTCCTGACATCTGGCATTCGCTCCCTACTCTGCCGATTGCTACCAACTCTTTCTGATCACTACAGAGACTATCCAATCACTACCGACGTCTCCCGTTTGCTTTCAACTCTGCAAAAGGTGTTAAATATAGCTTAAAACAGCATTTAAAAAATTGGTTAGACTTTTAGACCGATGTGGATTGTTGAAGTGCCGGACCATCGGTTGCCAGATTGGCGGTCTTTTACTGTAGTGACCGTTTTGATATTCAGCGCTCGACTGTATTCTTAAATATCAAACATACTAAACTGCAACTTAAAGACCTACTTTGAAGTAAGTTTCTTAGCCTCCGAAGATTTGCCGAGATGATGAGCTATGACAGCGCTGATGGCAACTGGTCCAGAGTCTTGCAAGAAAGTTGCTCGATTTTTGTGAATCTTTTGAGGAGCTCTTCGCAGTTGGTCCTCTGCTTTCTAAAAAAAAACATAGCTTTTTATAACTTACACAAATTCTTTTGTAAAGATGTTGATTATCAAAAATGTCTTATCTAAAAATACATATAGTTAATAGAAAAACAATTGATTTTATGTACAAACATATTTAACCCTAGTTTCATTGTTATTATCATGTGCGTTGAAACGCTTTAATGGGAACAGTAATAATTTGTTGACTTTACACAATTCATCTATAAAAATGTAGCTTCTATTTAAAATAAAGGATTTTTTATTCGATCTTATTTGAGTATGCTGATGCAGGTTTACAAGATAGAATCAGTTTAAGTTCCTTACTTTTGAGAAACTGTTGTAGCAGTCATGTTAATGTATCTGGGTCTTATGTGAAAACAGCAAGTAGATGGGAAGTAAATTTGTTTTAAGCTTTATGCTTACCGCCAATGCTCGGGAGTCATCAAAGCACTGAGATATCAATAGATTTAGCAGAGCAATGCCTCCCAATCCAGTGTACACTGAGAAATCACTGGTACGATCGCCCTCCTTGTTTACAGTCTCCGTGAATTGATTGGCAGCCTTCTCTATTTTTGACAGGAGTGTTTTATCCAGCTAAAACAATCAAGGCCATGTCGGAATAATATAGAAAGTCAGTATTAGCTGAATTTTAAAAATACAGCTTAATTGTAATTGCTTAGCTTAATCTGTGGACTGTTAGGGTACTATGAAGCTGATTATCAGCAGATCATCATTGTTCATTATGGCTTGTGAAATACTGCAACTGAATCCTGAACTGGACTCCTAAATGGCAGATCAGAAGACAAGCAATCTAAGCCCCCTGCTGGTTAATAAAAGTGAAATAGGCCTAGCCTGGGCTTACTTAAATTTATTTATATTTTACCTGCTCAGTGGATAAATCAATAATTCCATGTCCGTTTTCTCCATCAAAATCTGGGTATGGATTAGTATATTCGTCTTGATTGTTTTGATCCATTGATTTGGGAATTTTGTAGTGTCTTGAAAGCCTTTCTGAAAGAAAATATTGATCAATAACACCGCCAACGCCGGTTTTGTTGATATTTACTAACCTAAAAAAATTAGCAGAAAGTGAAATCATAAGGACTGTCAGATTTGGAGGTGCGCCAACCTAACCAAAACTAAAGATTCTTTTATTAGAATAAAGATTATACAGAAATTATACTGAAGAATGACTAATTATACTGTATGAGATATTAGAACTATTATTGTAAACTGTCTTTTGATCGTTTGAAAGTAAATGATTGTTTGGTAAACATAGGTAAACACACTACTTTAAATTCTTTAGCGATTGTTGTAGTTGAGCTGCACAGCTGTGGGCTGAGATTGAATTCAAAAAAATATTACAAATAAAATCAAAACATTATACAATTTAGTTAACATTTAGTTAAATAGTTCGTAAACTGTATGCCATAGTTATGTCAGTTTCGTTTCGATACTAAATTTATAATTTATATAAATTTATATAATGTGGTCACCAAAGTTGATAAGAAAGTAGCTTATTATAATCAACGCTAAGACCCTCTGACTCATCTAGATGACAGATTCGATTTGTACTGTCCTGAGTTACTCTGTCTGTCATCTTTTCAAAATGTCAAATCTTGCAGCAGACGCTGCTGCAGCTGCTGAAAGAAAACTTGTGTTGCTATGCTATGCCATGTTGTCTAGGTTAAGGTTAGTGATTCATTGCGCAATTATTTTTTAAAATTATTTCCCAAATTAGTGATACAGATTGATTTTATTGGACACAAAATTATATCGGTATGAAATGTCATTTTTATGCTCAATATTTTCTACTTCATTAGCATCTGTCTACAACAGGTCAAGCCTTTGTAGACTGAACAACTCTGTAAGAATTTTTAAAACTTTCCAACTTAGGAAAATTAAAACTTCTCCACTTATTTTACATGGAGACTATGAATATGAACCTCCCAAAAGCAAAGAAGATATTGTAAATGTTACTTATGTGGACAAGGATGGTAATAAGAAACAAGTTCAGGGAAAAGTTGGTGATAACCTCATGTATTTGGCGCACAGACATGAAATTGAAATGGAGGGAGCTTGTGAAGCTTCACTAGCCTGTACAACTTGTCACTGTTATGTTCAAGGAGAATATTTATCTAAACTTCCCCCACCAGAAGAAAAGGAAGATGACTTGTTAGATCTAGCACCATTCTTGAAAGACAACTCAAGACTAGGATGTCAAATCATTCTAAATAAAGAGTTAGATGGTATTGAAGTTCACCTGCCTAAAGCTACCCGTAACTTTTATGTTGATGGACACAAACCTAAACCTCATTAAGGTTGTTAAAGTGCAAGGAATCTGGACATGAGTGACCTATATTTATATTTTAAGTGAGTGGCTTTTAATTTGGAATTTTTGGAAAATAAATCACTTTGATAGGCCTATGATGCCTTTATCACACTAAATATTAATTTACAAAGTGTATTATTTTAAACTGTCATTTGGAAATACCTACAAATGAAATTCTACCCTATACTGGTTGTTGGTAAAGCCCCCCATACACGATACGTCATGTCGGTAGACATGCCTGGGCTGCGGTCCGTCTGTTAAGTCTGGCTGTTACCACACACAATCCGACCAGTGTTCCGACTGCGGAATCTTTGTGTAGCTTCGGGTTTATTTGGTCAGCTTCACACTGGATGGAATGGCTGCAAGTGACACTTTCATATCTTAAAGATGACCGTATCGTTGGCTCATGCACGTACCATTTCATTGAAAAGTAGGCCTACTGTATTAAAAAAGTGAGAACCAGCTCCACTGCTCTTCGACTCCTAAACTTTTTTTAATTCACATTGGTATCATGAGCTAAGTTTATCAATCTTCTTCTTTACAACTTTGATCTTAGCTTCCGGTTTAATTTCATGGAGTTTTTCCTGCATACTCTCTTGCCTTAAGTGTCTGTTGCTGTACCGGTACTGTTTGCTTTGTATGTCCCATGAGCATGGCATAGGCCTTCTCATGTACCGGTATTCTATAAACTCCCTTCCAAAACCTTTTGTTGTCTCAGCAAATTTTAAATTGTGTTTATTCTATAACCTCCACAACCGACTGCGTACTTGTCTGCGGATCCGGTCTGTTTTTACTTATGCACATTACCAAGGCCCCACTAGAAAAACAAGCCACACTGCAGAATCCATGACGTCATATGTATATTTCACCCAATTTATCGCAGTTAGATGAATTAACGTAAGTCTTGAAAGTAACCGTCGATTTCGACGGGTTTCACCTATTTTGATATATTCATTGATAGATTCACTGCCATATCCCATATGTTTTAGGTAAATTAGCTGGCTGTTTGTCAGATTTTAATGGTAAGGTTTTATTACAACCACCCACCACTGTGATGTAGTGTTGCGCTGCAGCATGGCCTGATTTTCTAGTGGGGCCTTGATCTGATGCGGTTGGAGTTGATGAGTTGGCAGACATGTTGGACCATGTATGGTGGGCATAAGAGCTTTGACTATTAATATAACTAGATACCTATTCAATAGTCAATGATAAGAGTCATATCTTAAAGTAACATTAGATCACAAGTGAAATTAGAATATAAAATACCTACTGCCTGGCTAAACCGATTTCCCTCTGTATTCTTGGGATCATGGCTGATCTTATTTATTGGTTAAAATGTAAGATTGATGTCCTTGAGGCTGTTTATTGCCCTAGGTGGCATGATTTATAATCCCTGTGATTCACTTACGGTAGTTAACTTTCAGAACCAAGGATTTTCATTTAATTAAATCTCACAAAACCAGCATAGCTTGAGAAACAGGTGGCATTTTCAGTATTGATTGATATCAAAAATAGATGGTAAATAAAAACATAGACTTTACTTAAATACTTTTCAATGAAATGGCAACCTAGACATAAGTTAAATTGGTTCATAAAAAACATGGCTCAGTAAAGTTATAAAATTTAATTTCCTTGTGACCGGTAATCTTGAATGAGTATAAACACTTTGTTAATAGACCCAATAATATATTTTAATTTATCCATAAAAAATTTCTAGTTTTTCTTCTTTTATCTTAGAAAAGAGATTTTCACGTAATTTCCCCCTAAATTGATTATGTAATATTTCAATTAAACACATCTTATAAATAACAGCAGAATACCTCTTTCCTGAATATTTTATAAAAGATTATTTACTTGTACAATTTAAAGTAAATGTAGGCCTATTAAGCTCCAACTAGGTAAAAAGGAAAGAATACTCTTTAGAAAGATAATTACTTCTATATCAGGTATTGCTCCTCATAAAAAGCCATATTTTAAAATAATTTTGATATAGGCCTGATGACATTACTGAGAACTCAACTGAACGATTTTTACCTAATTAAAACTAGCTTATCTTATTTTTGTTTTTTACAGGTTAGAATGTTAAAAGGACTATATTTGTATACCAGTAGTTAGTGCCGTACCATGGGATACGTAGAAGATGCAGTAGTTTCCTCCACTCGAGCTGTAGAGTTTGACCAAGCGGGACAGCTGGAAGTGGCTAGTTATTACTACAAGAAGGCGGCAAGGTTATTGGAGCTTGCGTATAAACTTGCTCCAGACACAGACGAGAAGTCTGCCTGGTGGAGGAAGGCGCAGGAATACCGTGGCCGTGCTGACTCGTTGGACAAAAAACGTATGTAAAAAACAGTACTTTGTGTACTGTAGTGCTCTAATATGTGTTAAAATTTCATGTACTGTATTTAGTATAAGTTTTTACTTTCAGTTCACCGTGTTGGAAAAAGGTATTGGTATGCCTATTATTTTCCCCCAAAAGGAATACCTATCAAAATATCAGTCATTGTGAATTTCGTTAAATTATTTAAACTCCTCCTCAATTGTATGTTACCTAAACTGTATATAATTCTACTACATATATATACCTTGGTTAATACAAATACCAAATTATCCATCCTGCATCTATTGGATTCTAAAATATTTAATTGGGAAATGCCCCACAAGCTATGTAAACATTCACTTAGCCTAACAAACACTTTACTTTAAAATGTTCACTTTATTTTTTGAATAAGATTTTCCAAGCTTAAGTTAGCTCACGGATTTGGAGTTAGAAATTGTCGTAGCCTACATAAAACAGTTTTTTTTTCCTATGCAGTTAAACTGTACTCAGTTCTTCATAAAAATAAATCTACAACTACCATCACTAAGCAAAGACTGTTTAAGTTAGGTACTGTAAAGACTGTAAGTTAATGTGAGCCTATTTGAGAAACTTACATGATTCATGAAAGACGAAACAAAATGAAAGCTCATATTCATAAAATAGGATCCCTGGGTTTTTTTGTGTGTTATCTACGCCAATGAAATTTGTTAATAGAACTTCTTTAATCCAACCAATGGGTATACACAGTTTTGTGTCACATTATGATCTACGACTCTTTTGTTGATTTGATTTGATGCTCCTCAGGGCTGGAGGAGGGTAGTCAGCAGACCCAGAGTGTGGAGCAGCAGAAGCTGCAGCGATGCAGATTTTTGCTGAGTCACGCTCTAGATGCTGATGAAGCCGGGGACAAGGCCTCCGCCATTAAGCTGTACACACAAGCCGTCGAGTTCAGCTTGACAGCAGTGAGTACATAGTAATGCATTACTCCTCGCATTTAACATTTTTCCCTACTGACGGAACCTATCGCCTCTGTTTGAAACACATTTTTTGGTGATGGGATTTATCTTATTTAAGGGATTGTCGTTTTTTTTTGTGTTGAATTGTGTCTACTTTTCATAACGTCTCGCGACGTTCTAAAAGTGAGAAAATAGGTACCTAACATGTAAAAATTTACTTAAAGGAAGTGAAAGACGTTTTTTGGAAATTAGGGAAATTAAAATCCCATGCTAATAACATGTAGCAAGGCAAATTAAAGACATCAGTAAGGTAAGCTTACTTAAAGTTTTACTCACAGTCAAATATTCCTTCCGGATTTTGTTCAGCACTTATCTATTTGAAAAACCATCTAACAGATTTAATTACTTTTGTGTTTATTTTCAGCGTAATGAAACATCAGACAATGAAGTACATCAGAAGTTGACGGCTCTTGCGAGACAAGCGCTCGAGCGAGCAGAGGACCTAAAGGGTATTCGGCAGACTCAGACGTTGTCCTCTGTTCACGAGTCTGACACTAGCAGTCAGGAACCTCCCCCCACTCCTGCCTCTAGCTCTGCCAAGGATGGGAGTAGAAACACACTCCCTCGTAACACCAACACTGGTAATGTCTATCTTTTTTCTAGTTATAGGCTTCAGGACTAAGTAGCGCTCTAAGTACTTAATGTTGTTCAGGCAATTACCTTTTGTGGGCTACTTCAGGCTTAAACTAAATTAAATTGTGTATCGTGTTCTTGTATTGAAGAGAGCTGATGTATAATGAATAATCAAGACTGGCGAAACAGCTGACCTTGGTCAAGATACACAAATCATCCACTCCATTCATCTAAAAGTACTTATTTTATTTATTTATAAAAAAAAATACAAATTCTCAAACTTGTGGAATACATAAAAAATAAAAGCAATTAATGTTAGTGAGCAGCAATTATTAAAATAATGTTATTTCACAGTGTTTTTTCCTTCAGCCTGTCTTATTTTTTTATGTCCCTCATTTTCATCCTAATATGCTAGGTTTTAGCCTGGAACTGTTTTATACATTACATCAGGCTAGTCCTAGAGGGTATTATCACATAGATAAAATCCTTTGGTGATTGGTAGTATTTTAACCCGGGACCTCAGGCTCCGAAGCCTTGAGCTCTACCACAAGACCAGCTTGCTCCCCAAATTATAACAATAAATGTATACAGAAAACAATAATACATGAAAACAAATACACAAAGTACATTTCCATCTTAGTATAGGTAGTGTTTAAGTTAAAAAAAAACAACAATATTTATCTGTAGGCCTATTATAATGCAAAAAACTAATAAATTTAGCTCCTAATAATAAAAGACTACATTTAAAGGAATCACAAATTTATTTTTTAAGCTCACAGGTTGACAGGTATTGTGTGCAGTAATCTGTGTTTTTGGTAACGCCATTTTAGTCCTGTTAGTGTCAGAATATCAAGTTCCATCTGTAGGTATACACTGTTTGCAACAGATTGCACCAGTATCTCAACCACTCGCTATTCAATGTTATGTGTTGTAGTACGCCCGGCTCTCCACCGAGGCAGCAGTGCTCATCTCAAGGTCAGTGGCAAGGACACTTACTCGGAGGAAGAGAAGAGAGTTCTCCTGGCTACCTCTAACATCAACAACTTGGAGTACGTTCCCTTCATGAGCGTTGACCTGTCCGAGAGGTAAGATGTGTTCCTCTGTGCTTTGGTAGTTTTGGTACCGCAGTGAAAAGACCGGCTTTCAATTCAAGTGTTGCAGGGCTAAAGTAGTTATTTTTACCTCTATGTTGAAAAGAATGAGCTGGAATTAAAATTTGTTTCTTCACTGTTTATTATGACAATCATAACAGAACAAATAATCAAATAACTCTGTAACAAAGGTTTGTTTGTAATAGCAAATCAAGATTTAAGTAATCTAGGGAACTAACTTGAATTTATATCCATGTAACAAAAATCAATTATGTGAATTAGTTTATTTAAATTGAGGTGCAGTATGATGAAAAATAGTAGATACAGTTCATTACTGGGACCTAAAGCGTCTTTTTGCTCATTTCCACATCTTGGCTTCACCGTATAGCTTAATTAACTGTAGTATGGTTGTTTTTTGTGCAGGTTCCAGTATGCGATTCCTTTCACTGACAAAGATGGTCCTTTGGCATTATCGGCCAAGCAGAGACGAGACTTTGCTCGCTGGGCTCGTCCTGATGAGTTCAGTTCAGACCCTCGTATGGTACAGGGCGACCACGTTGACTGCTTCAGCATCAAACAAACAGTAGGTTGAGTGTTTATTGGGAAATATGGTTTTAAACTCAATTAAGGTTATGAAAGCAACTGTACTGCAGGAAACTTTGGTCGGTTTATTCACCCTCAATAAAAAGAACTGGTTCCGTTTAATTGACCTTTTCATTAAATCAAGGAACTTCCATTTCAATTCTTATCGCAGGTAATAAAATAGAATATCGTTTGTGTAAGTCTAGTTTTGTTTTTAACGAATTTTAGAGCGTACATGTTAATTAATTCTGTGAATAGTTTAATTTAAATAAACTATAACTGTATCAAATAAAACACATGGGTGAAATTAAACTTAGTGTTTTTTTGCTGGAGTACAAATTATACTTTAAAACATTGCAGCTAAGTATTGTCTTGAAGGGAAAAGTTTTTCATGTAATTGCCTTCTTGTTTATTTAATTTTGTGGATGTCTAGGTGGTGTCTGACTGCTCGTTTGTGGCGTCGCTGGCCGTCAGTGCTCTGTATGAGAAGAGGTTTGGCCGCAGACTTGTAACATCCATTATCTACCCTCGTAACCGCAGCAAGGAACCAATTTACAACCCTTTTGGTGAGTGTTAAAAGCATTAAATGTCTAATCTTTTACTACATGGTACTCCACTCGACCAAAAAAGCTTAAATCGGTGAATGATGTTTGAGATTTGTCAACTGTGGAGAAAGTGGATTGGGCTATAAACTTTGGCACTAAACCTTATAAATCTGAATGGGCTGATTCTGATTCTAAATTTCTCAAAATGGTAGGCCTACTGATGATATCAAGGAATCCATTGATTTTCAATTCTTCATGACCTTGGATTCAATACTTTAGATAAAGCAATACACTTTCACCCAACCAAGTTTGTACTAAGATTTGGGAATTTGAGGATTTAATGAACTTTTTGTCATTTTGAATCTATGGCGGTATCATGCAAAAACAAAGGGAAAGTATGGTCAAGTGCAGTGCTTAAAACTCTAAGTGTTTCTTGTTTCTTACAACTTCCAAGTACAGTCAGGAGGAGTTAGGTTGTCTATACTTAACACACAGACGGTGTTAAGTCTTGTCATTCAGAAATAGCTTATGATTTCACATTACTTGAGAGATAATAGGAGAGTTTGGATATAATTGAAGATTGGATAGTCAAAGCAAAGTTTGGGTAGTCAAACTCGGCTGTAGGCCTACTTTTACCAAAACTGGATAGTGTACACTATAAGACCTATTGGGACTGTCCCTTAAAAAAGTGTAAAAAAATTTCAGTGGCATTGAAAACACTCAAGGAAGGGTGTGTTCACAAAAAAGCTGGTTACATGCGCTTGTTGGCAAGCGCTTGCAAGTTCCAATCGGTGTGTGAAAAGTCTACATTGTATCAAGCGTGTACGTTCACAGACAAAGCTTGCTCCGATAGCAAGCGCTTGCTACAAGTTCTGACAAGAAGGCAAGAACGTTTTGTACTAGTTTTTCGGCTCTTGTTGAGCGAACCAGTCCAGTGACAAACAACTGTGCAGTATGGATGTCGATGAACTGATTGCTCAAAGCTTTAGAATAGGGGCTATTTGGGACAAATGTCCCGAACTGAATGCTGAAAAAACCCCCCTTTTTTCCTAGTGCAGGCAGGCGGTTGTTGTGGGGCACCCGGTGTGCCCCCAAACCTCCAGTGCCCCTGGGCATATCCGTAATCTGCCCGTTTATTAAAGTGGGCCTGCCGCAAACCTACCTCTTCCGTGGTCAATTGCATGAACGCCAACTGTCCTACGAAGTTTTTATTCAACATTTTCAAGCAAAAATAACTCTTCATCACGTGATGCGGACATTGTCCAATAAACTAGCTTAAAATGGAAGCTTTTGTTGTGTAAACAAAAAAAAGTTCTCAAGTGCTTGGAATAAGCGCTGAAAATACGTTACTTGTAACCAGCTTCCTGTGTGAACACACCCTATCCTAGACATTTATTTTCATTACTAACCCTTTGTAAATATGTGTAAATGACAGCAAGTTTCTTTTTTGCCTAATCATGACTGGTTGGACAGGCAAGTACATGGTCAAGCTGCACCTGAACGGAGTGCCTCGCAAGGTGATCATTGATGACCAACTGCCGCTGGGACGCTACGGAGAGCTGCTCTGTTCATACTCCACCAACAAGAACGAGCTGTGGATCTCCCTGCTGGAGAAGGCGTACATGAAGGTGATGGGAGGCTACGACTTTCCTGGCTCCAACAGTGTAAGTCACTCGGACAATACGTTTGCAATTGTTTGAACAGTTTTAGCATCTGAATCAATTACGGATTTACGAATACGGTAGAGATGTGTTGATACTAAAATTTATGGTCGAAACTGATACCAATGTCGAAGAATTGGTGGCATCTAGAATCGACACATCCCTAAAATTCAGTGTAACCTTGGTTAACCGTCACTCTTCCAACTGTCGATCTCTGTTTTTTTTTAAGGGGGGGGGGGGTTCGACTTGAAAATAACCAATCAAGAGTCTTAAGCTGATGAATAAGTGATGTATTTATTATTCGGGTGTAAATAAAACCACTAATCATTTTAAAGCCTATAATCATTTTAGAAGTCTGTGTATAGCATACCAATCATATTTTTTAAAGATCTAATCAAATAATTTTTCACGCTCACAGAACATAGATCTACATGCTCTGACTGGTTGGATCCCGGAACGTTCAGCTATCAGACAAGGGGAAGCGGACTTTAACGCTGATGCACTGTTTAACAACCTGCTGACTCGCCTACACAAGGTACGATAAACTATTATCCAACCAAGGTTATGTGAATTACATGTTGTGTTTTGGTTAATTTTTCTATCGTCGTACCATTTGTTTACTTACTCAGACTAAAGGCAGGATTTATTACAGAAAGAAACTGTTATTAAAACTCCTCTGCCTGCTTCTAATTTAAATAAATGTATTACTTCTTTTCATCTGGTTTTTGTCCATCCTCTTACACTTTGAGTATTAATAAGAAAAGTTTCTTGCCCATAATGTTTCAGGCAGGCCCAGTTAAGCCAGAAAAAACACACTTAAAATTAATCGTCAATGTAAATGTAAAATATATGCCCACCGCAGAAAACCTAAGCAACCACAGCAATACTTAGGACTGGATTTTCACTACAAAATTTCAAAACAAAAAAATTAACTGGTTCCGGATCCAGGTCTTACCAAGATATATATGGTAATAGCTTATTCCCTGTATGGGAAATTCACTAAAAACTACAATGTTATGGCAGCCTTAAACTACCTATTTATAGTGCAAGTTGCTGGGCGGGGGGGGGGGGGTTAATAAAGATAATAAGTTCTTCTTGCATCAGAAACCTCTCCTTGTTTGATAAACATACTGATACTATGCCGAAACATGCATGTTTGTGCTAAATTCACAAATCTCACAGAGAAGTAAGGTACAGAAGAAATACACCAATGGGACAACTATGCGCTTTCAGCTTTAGTATGTTGTGCTAGAAATATACTTGTGAAAAACGAAGGAAGGGCCTGAACAGCGAGTACTGTGCGGAAATTCCTATAGCACAGGGTCTTCCTCCACCGTGAGCGTTGTAGTTCATGAGGGCGAGGGGGGCAGTGTTGGACTTTGCCCTAGTGTTAGACACCACTTAAGTGTACCATTGAATGTTTCCTTTGTACTTTACCTCGGTACTTTGGTATTATACCGACCTCACCAATAAATCAACTTTCAAATAAGATTTTAATTAGTTTAAATAGCAAAATCTTCCTAGCCTAACCTAAACCTAACCACCCTTGGATTAGGTCAGGTTAGTTATAATTATTAGGTCTGGTCGGTATAATACCAAATTACCTTTGCTTCTCTGTGCCAATCTGGAGTTTTATAAAAGTGTATGTCTCACAGGGAGATGTGCTGATCACTGTTGCCACAGGACAGATGTCAGATGCTGATGCTGATCGTACAGGACTCGTCCCTACACACGCCTACGCTGTGCTGGACATCAGACTAGTTCAGGTACAACAGTACTTTGTAACATTCAAAGTACGTACTGATAATCTGTAAAGAACTAACCATAATACTGCTTTTGTATTGAGGTTGAAAGTCATACAATAGTTGTTATGGTGGCTAAGGTGGTATTAGCAACATACCGATCCTCAAAATACCTTTAAACTAAGCTTTTTGGTGGTTTAAAAACCGGGTCCAACTGCTCTAGGTCATTGAACTTGACTAATGGTTCGGACTAAAGAAACAGCTGTTCTTACTCAGTAACAAAGATGGATTTATTACACCTAGCTGCGTCCCCATCTTAATTGATAATAATAATATTAAGCTCGTTACAAATTTAATTTAAGTATGACGATGTAACTTAGACCTCAAGGGTGTATGTTTGTAAGATTTTTTAGTGAGTATAGCAGGCTTCTGAATGGTAAGCTGGCACAAAAAACACTTTAACACGATATATTAAACATTAGAATATTTCACTGTCGATGACACCATTTTCTATCTAGGAAGATGGAGTTAATAAATTACTTACTTTTAAATAGTTTATTTCATAATTTTTTTATAAGTTCCGTAACAAAAACTTTGTGTAACGCAGGGTAAACGCTTGATGAAGTTGAAAAATCCTTGGTCGCACGTAAGATGGAGAGGGAACTACTCTGAACTCGACACAGTTCACTGGACATCAGAAATGAAGAAGGCACTGGACTACGATCCAAACAGGTGACTTAATTAATCATCTGGTTGATTTCTTCTTTAATTTAAAATTTAATTTGTATTTTGTTAACCTTTTGTAAATGCTTGACCAGTCATACCTAGTCACACTGTGGACATGAACAATACAAAAAATAACAAATATCAAAACCTGTGCTGTGTCGCTTGGGTGTCTAGTATTAGTGACCATGTTACTTAGCTGCATATCACTTGGCAGCCTTCAGGCGGCTTCTACCAGCTCAGAATTATTTAGGCTTATCATCACAATATGGTTTGGCCAGAGCTGCAGGCTATCCGATTTTTTAACTAAGCAGTACCTCTGGCTATACAAGTGACCACGAAACTGACATGAAATTTATCTGATTTGCTGTGCAAAACACCGCTGTTAATGGCAGTAGAACTGGACATCCGACTGATGTGGAAAACCTGTAATTATTCCAATACCAAAGATACTGTGTTAAAGGCGTTTCTGAAAGTTTTTTTAGTATGACAATCCCCCCATTGCATATTTTCTGGGTAGCTGAGGGGTTATAATGAAATATTTTGTTTATTGGTTATTTGTTATAATGTTTATTTTTTTACAGTGCAGCAATGTTTGACAACGGAGTGTTCTGGATTGACTATGACAGCATTCTAAAGTTCTACGATGTTTTCTACCTCAACTGGAATCCTGGTCTTTTTCAATACACTTACTGCATTCATCAGTAAGTATGAGTAAATCACATGACCCAAAAAGTTTTCTTCCAATTGTAGCTAAGATAATTTTACTAAAAGGTTTGGCTATTTAATCAGTGATATCAACAATGCATTTAATCTTACTGAAAGTCTTAAACCTTGAATTTATGTACAGTGTACAGTACTTTGAGTTGAGTATTGTAAAATGAAAGTATGATTTGAGATTCTTATCTTGGGAGCAGCTCTACTGAGGTAAGCAGGTCGCCGTCTTGTAACACAAAACAACAAAAGGGGGTCTATAACTAAAAAAACCATCAGGGTAGAATTGGACCAGAAATAAAAGAGCAACTAGTAAACTAAAAATTAATGGCATGAAGTAGGGAAGTTTCTTTAGTTAACCACTAATGTCTATGTACGAATAATTTTTTTTTTTTTTTTTTTAGTTAATCCTACTAATATTATAAATGAGAAAGTTTGGATGTATGGATGTATGGATGTATGTTTGTGACAAGTGAACGCGAAAAATACTGGTCGGATTGGGCTGAAATTTGGCATGATGATAGCTCACATTCCCGATTAACATATAGGCATATTCTTATTTCAAAAATCCTTTCGGGCTCCGTCCCAGTGGCTCTGGAGTTTCCCATGTTAACCTTATGAGAAATGGAACAGCTGTTTCAACTAAACAAGTTGGTTCTGTTCTATGATGTTCAATAGCATTAAAGTTACAAGGGTTACCAACAGGGTGCAGCACTATTATTTCTTTTACATTTATGACAACAGCTAATTTGCAACTAAAAGGTGAGTGAGCGTAGCGAACGAACTTCAACCTGGAGGCGCGTTAGCGGAGCGAACGAGCTAACCTGAAGGCAAGTGAGCGCAGCGAACGAGCTCCAACCTAAAGGTGAGTGTGCGTAGCAAACGAGCTCCAACCTAAAGGTGAGTGAGCGTAGCGAACAAACTTCAACCAGGACGTGATTGAGCCATGCGAACGAGATAATCTTGAAAATTAAGAAGTTAAACGGGGTAAAGCCCGCGGGTTACAGCTAGTAAGAAATATATCAACGATGTAGTTGCTATCTAAAATACAGACAGTTTGACAGAAGTCTAAAAGTATTAAGTTTTCATTAGTTTTAAATACTACGAAAGATACTCTTCAGTGAATCTGATAATCAATGTTATCAGTATAAACAGTCAGAACAAATATACTCCAATTATACCAGACATCTTGCTTTCACCTTGTCTTACTGTAGCGTTTTTTTACAGGTCGTGGCAGGCTGGAGTAGGGCCAGTGAAAGACGCTTACAATATTGGGGACAATCCCCAGTTTAGTCTAGAGGTAAGCTTTCTTTAATTATCTTATTATTGTTTTAATTGCTTTTTGTTTAGCTTGTTAAGAATTTATTTATTTCTGCTATGCTTCTTTTTTAATACATTGCAAAATACTACCTTACATCATATCATAGCAGTGTACAGTTTTAGGATCATTAGTATATTTTTTAGGGGTCTGTGGTTCGTTTTTATTTCAGATCGGGGCAAAAATGTAGATCTTCGGGTCAAAATCAGATTGCTTTTGGTATTTTTTTAACTGTTTTATCAGCTACTCAATTAATTCATAAAATATTGTACCCTCCTGCTATCGTGGTGAAACAGTAAAGTGGTCCTAGCAAAATTGTCAACGTCTCCTGCGGTCGTGGCAAACTATGTCCTGAGTTCAAGGAGAAGTTGTGTTTTTCCTCTGCGGATGTGGTGGAATATTTAGTCTCGGGTGATCAGGGCAAAGTCATAATGATGTGCTGTCTTGAAGACATCACCAACGTCTCCTGCAATCTCGGCAAAATTGTAAACACCTGTCATGATTGGCAAAATTTTGTCGTCCCTTCCAATCACATTGAGGGACCGGACTCCAAAACCCGAACTTCCAACTTCCAACTTCCGAACTTCCAAGTGCCGAACCGTACTAAACTTGATCAATGTCTCCTATCATAATTAAATTCTTGTTTTCTTACTGTTTGCAGGTAGGCGCCAACACAGGGGCTGTGTGGGTACTGTTGACTCGTCATATCACCAAAATTGACGACTTTAGAGAGAACACTGAATATATCACAGTCCTAGTCTACAAAAATGAAGGAAACAAAGTCTACTATCCTAGTAAGTACACTATTGATGTATATAATATGTAAGATGAGTCGGTTTCTGTCTTTTTAAATAACTTCTGCAAAAAAAAAAAAAAAGATTAAAATGTTTCTATTTTGTGTCCTCTTCCCGTTGCAAAGCACGGGTTTAACAGCTAGTAAATAAATAAATAATTCTTTATTGTCACATCAACGTTTTGAATCATAGCACAGCTAAAAAACAGATGACATTGTCAAGATTATTACTAACTTAACCTAATGTACAACAATATGTCTTATGCATTAAAAAATGTTTTAAACAAGTTGGCAAAATTGGTTAAACAATAACGGAAAAAATAAGTTTCTAGTCATACAAAATAAAAGTCATATTGATTGGTTAGTTCCACTGAGATAATCATTAACACTGTAAAATGTTTTACTTATCAGAAAATCAGCAAGGCTGCTTTTAAAAGATTTATTATTAATTAAAGTTTTTAGATTTGAGGGTAGTTTATTAAAAAGTTTTTTTCCCATGTATTTGTGTTTTTTCTACAAGCTTCAGTCTGTGTCTTGGATATTGGAAATTATTTTTAAATCTAGTGTTTAGATGTGGTCAAAGTTTTCGCTAATGTAGTCATCAAAATTTGAATGCACCGCTAACAATGTTTTGTAAATAATCAAATTTGGAATAGTCATAATATTCAATTCTTTAAAAACTGTTTTGCATGAAGATTTCCATGGTAAAAAAGTCATAATTCTTATAAACTTTTTTTGAATTTTAAAAACTTTTTCAATTTCAGAGGCGAACCCCCAAAATTCAATTCCATACTGTACTATTGAATAAAAGTAAGCATAATAGAGCATGACAGAAGTTTTCAGGTCTATAGAATTTCTTAAACATAACATTTGAAAACAGGCTGAATTTAATTTTCCGATTACCGACTGAATGCACTTACTCCAGGTCAAGTGTTTATCAATATATAGCCCTAAAAATTTTGCATTATCCTCAGTTGGTTGAGATTGATCAGTGAGTGCCATTGATTGAGGTGTACAAAATCTTACAAATTTGGTTTTCTCTTCATTCATTTTCAATCCATTGACCTCAAACCACTTCCCCAATTCGGTTAGGCTTTCATCAATTTGATGTTTTAATCTCTCATTGTTTTCTGTTTTAACTACTGCAGTAGTATCATCTGCATACAGAATTAGATTATTTGAAACATTTTTTGGAAGATCATTGATATATATAAGAAATAGAAGAGGCCCCAAAATTTAACCTTGAGGCACACTTATTCTAATTTTTTGCCATTCTGACTTTACTTTTAAATTATCTTTACAAATGACTGTTCTCTGATAGCGACTTTAGAAGCCCAAGAGACAGAGCTCTACAGTTTGAAACTTGAATAATACATGGATTTGTCCTGAAGTTTCAAGGAAATGGTTTAGATGGTATGGTAATACATAAGTGCAATACAGAAAGACATAAGTCTATTTCAATTTTGCTCAAGTGGATATATGTTACAATTTAAGAAGAATTAGGGAATTGATTATCTACTTCCCTTGAGTTTTCCTGCGGACACCAATAGTATTAAAATCCATAACAAATAAGGAGTTTCAGTCACAAAAGAGCAGTTTTGCCTCTAAGAAGTTTAGATTCATACGATCATTCAAGTAGTAGCCTACGTTTATTTGTAACCTTGTTTAAATCACTTTGTAGAACATTTTTTTAACCAATGAAGTTTTCTCTTGTCCCAGACGATCCGCCGCCGTACATTGACGGTGTCCGGATCAACAGTCCGCACTATCTGTGTAAGATCATCTTGTCTGACAGCAGTCCTCGACGCTACACTCTCGTCGTATCACAGTATGAGAAGATGCACACTATCTACTACACTCTCCGGGCCTACGCTACTTGTCCCTTCACTCTCTCAAAGATACAGAATCCATACAGGCATTCTGAAGAGGTATGTTCTACGTTTGTTAGTTTTCGACCACGTTGACACCAAATATACGAAACTTGATAGACATTGGTACAAAATTACATTTTAAAAAACTTACATGTCTGAATCTCGATCATTATATCTTTGGTTATCAGACCTTCCGTTATATCCGACTCTCTCAGTGGTTGATCAGATACCGTGAAATCGTTATTTTTACTGTGTGGTCTGACTGAACTCCAAAACTGATACTTCAAAACTACGTCTGCAGGCCTACTCTAAAGCGCCAGGTTATACGTACTTGCATTATTGGAGTAGGTAGGTTTGTTGTGATAGGTGTATAACATAATATGTTACAGATAACAGATGGACAATGGAAGGGTGTGACGGCTGGGGGATGTCGCAACCACCCGGCCACTTACCCCTTCAACCCTCGCTACCGCATCACCCTAGACACTATGGAGACCTGTAATCAGCTGGCCTTTGACCTGAAAGGTCCCAAGCAATACCAGATAGGCCTGGAGGTCACTATAGTGTCGTTAACTGACGAGACGGTCACGGCACCGTTCAAGACCAAGTCTTCTGGTCCTTACAGGTTAGCATTCATGGGGTTTTCAAGTGTTTTACTCTTATCTAAAAGTCCATGTATCTAAAGTACCCCAATAAGAGGTTTATGTTTGATTTCATATTTCTTGCTTATTTATGCTGTGACAGTTTTGAAACTTTGCACAGTTTTTAAAGAATGTTCTGAAATTATTTTTTTTATTTGAGCTTCCAAACACGTACAAAAAAAGTTTGTGGTGTATTAAAAAATTTAAAGATTTGCTTCCTATTAACATCTTTAATATTATTAAAGTGATACAATCAAATTTGTGGTCATCGCTTAAGGCCATTAACCAAATAAAATATAGGCATATGGAACATCAAAATTAAGCTCAAAGTGTGTAGATTTGCCAAAATGAATTGGTATTTGATATGAACAAATTCCTGAAGGGTTCGGCCCCACAGGCCAATTTCCAAAAGGCTACGCCTTACATGCTTTTGAAGTTTATTAAACCAAAACTGTTCTATCACTAAGACTGATAACAATTCCGTTATTTGCTTAGGTCTGGCTTTGTTATCCTGGAGCTCCGGGATGTTCCCTCAGGAATTTACGAGGTTGTCCCCTCCACCTTCTACCCGCAGCAGGAAGGCCCGTTCTTCCTGTCCGTCAAGTCGTCTTGTCGCTTCCAAGTTACCAGGGTCAACTAATGCAAGTTTTTAGAGCTTTTGGACATTACTTTAGTTTTATTTGTGGGCGAGCTGAATTTGGTAGCTTGCACACTTTTTGTTAACATTATATACACCACTATATGACTGTATGTTACATTGGACGACACTAAAACATTGTTAGCAAAAAGCTAGAGGCATTACTGTGAGTTCTTGATAAGAAAATATGTTTTTTAAAAAGCTATACATATTTGTCCAAATTATTGTATTTTGGACTGGCAATTAGGCCTAATTTTTATTACTATTCTATTCATCAATCCATATAAAATGTTACTGACTGTTATTTTGTGTAAATCAAAAGGATAAGAAATTTTCTTAAAAAATATTGTTATTGTTATCTCTTTAAAAATTAGTTTTGTAATGTTTGTAATATAGTATTTTAAACTATGTTAAGTAACTACTGCATCTAAGTTATCGTGACAAAGCTTGGGTACTATTTTTGTAAATAGGTCAAATGAAATAAATTTAAATCATGAATTATTGTACATTTTAAACTTACCCAAAAATAACCTGAATCTGAATCCCTAATCCCCTACAGTCAAAGTCAAAAGTATTTATTTGCACATAACATTTATGAGTTACAGTGGTAACATTAAACTGGTGCATCGTCATTACATTTCTAAAAAAGAAACAATACAATTAGCTATGACACAAATAAACATCTAAATAATTAACAAATTCTTCAACACTATATACACTTAATTCTAGGAGGAGTCGCTTCAAATAAGACTTATATCTAATTAAATCTAGCTGCTTTACATGGTTCGGTAATTTATTGTATATTCTTTTACCCAGCTCAAAAGTTGAATTAATTGTCCTTCGGTAGTTACATTGGTCAGTTCTTAAATAATTGTTTTGCCTAGTAAAGTAGTTATGAACAGAGCTATTAGTTTGAAACTGCTCTAAATTAGTTCTAATGTACATTAAGCAATCCAATATAAACAAAGAGGGAACAGTCATTACTTTAAGTTTCTTAAAAAGTGGTTTGCAATGGGTCCTACGATTAACACTGAACATGATTCTTAAGGCTCTCTTTTGAAGCCGCAATAATTTTATTGTATTACTGTCATAACCCCATGACACTATACCATATGACAGGTGGCTTTGTATATGTGCAAAATACACAGCAGCCAAAACATCAATATTAACAATTAACTTAAGTCTTCTAATCATAAAGATTGCTTTAGCTACCTTATTGCACAAAGATTTAATGTGTTCATCCCACTTAACATTAGTCTGTAAAGTAATACCTAAAAACTTAACACTTGACATTTCATCAGAGGAATTTCCAAAACTGAAATTTAGGCTTTGTGTCTTCTCTTTGTTTAAGCATAAAATGTTGGCTGCAGCCCAGTCTTCAATTAAATTATTAGACCTGAGTAGTAACTGATCATTTAAGAGACCACTATTACTATTACAGCTGATTTGTATGGCCAGGTCGTCTGCATACATATAAGGTATCACATATTCATTGGAAATGGCAGCAGGTAGGTCATTAACATATATTATAAAAATAGTAGGACCTAATATCGAGCCCTGAGGCACACCTGTAGACACTGGCAAATATGGTGAAAAACAGCCATTAAATAAGACAGACTGGTACCTCTGTGACAAATAAGACTTAATCAGATTCAAAGAAACTGTGTCAAACCCATAAAAACCAAGCTTTTGCATAAGTACTGTGTGATCTACAGTGTCAAATAATGCTTTTGACATATCGTAAAAACTACTACATACCTTTTTTCTAGCATCTAATGCCGATAAACAATCTCTAGTGAAATTGACAATTGCTGTACTTGTTCCCCTCTTAGACCTAAAGCCATACTGACTATCAGAAAACAGTAATTTATTTTCAAAAAATATTTTGATTTGATTATTTAACAAAACCTCAAACACTTAAGACAAAACTGGAATTATTGATATAGGACGATAGCTTTCATATTTTACTTTTGAGCCTTTTTTAAAGATAGGAATAACTTTCACTAATTTTAAACACTATGGAACAACACCCTCATTAATACAAAGATTAAACAGGTATGAAAGTAAAGTATTTCAGCAATGTATGGTGCCACTAATTTCAAGATCTGAGAATTAATAAAATATACATCCAAGCTTAAGCTATCACTTAAAGAATAAATTGCTCTGAACACTTGTTCAACGGACACATTATTGAATGTAAAAGACGTGTGTACGTTGTTGCAAGGACTCAGTTTATTTAAATAATGTATATGTTATCAATTTTTTAAGCCCTTACAATGGGTGATATGGTAATTTTAAGGAAGTGGGTTAAAAACAATGGCGGATCTAGAGGGGGGGGGCGAAGTGGGCTACCGCCCCCCCCTCGGGCATACATATACATAATATATTTTTACTGCATGTAATACAGTAGTGCATACACATTACGTAAAATAATTTGTCACACTAACTTTGGACAAAGAAATGGTATAAAACTGCCATTTTGGAGACTTAGTTTACACACATTTTTCGGGCGGGGGGGGGGGGGGTACCCCCGGACCCCCCAGACTCCCTGGTTCGCCCCCCCCCCTTGTAACTGTTCTAGATCCGCCACTGGTTAAAAAATATTGAACTAATCTCATTTCAGTAGCATCTGTTGCAAGTTATTTATAATTTTTGCAGTGTGTTTCTTAATTGATATCTAAAGTTTCAATTAATCTAATCTTAATTCCACCTTTGTTTTTGTACATTGCTGAACAGTTATTTGTTTGTTTCAATGCATGAAACTGCTTTTGTTAGCAAGTTGAATAAACCCCCTCGATTAAGACATTACTGTACTGTTTCGTCAAAATGATTAAAACTCGTAACATGAACCTGTTGTAAATCCCAGTCAATCTAATACAGTAACAAAATAAGAAATTAGAAATTAATTCTAAAAACCATGTTTTGATGATTAATTGAATTAGAACAAGTAAAAAGCATACTAACAATAGCATATAGAACTATCAACAAAATAATAATTGGGTTAAAAAATTAACAAAAAGACAAAACATACCCAATTATGGAGGAGTAATAGGGAACATAGTGTAGTCTACTGAAGGAAATTTCAGATTAGGTCCAAACGTGGAAGATATTAAAGTACCTTTACCTAACCCGCCATGTTAAACTTCCCTATCCCAAGCGTGATGTATACAACTTCCTTACTTCTCGAGTGATGTAAAGTTGAAAAAAACTCACTTGGTGATGTAATGAAACCCATTTTAAATAACATTGAGTGGATAACTTAAAATATATACCTCTATGGAGCCAACGAAGTTCAACGCTAGAAATCAGCTGTGTTTGAATTTTATTGTTATGCTTTGAAGAATTTTCCTAACCTAGCTTTTGTTTGTAAATGAACGTTACTGTTAGAAGATGAGTGAAATTGATAATGAAGCATATTGCTCGTGACCTCCTGAATATTGTCGGGTCAGGTAAAATCTTGTACGTTACACGTTATGCAAGAGCATGTTTACATCACTTCGGTGAATTATGCAACTCGCCTTCGCTCGTTGCACAACATTCACCTGCGTGATGTAAAAACGCTCTTACTACTTTACTACACTTGTAATGTAAATAGCTATAAAGTCATCTGGTTGACAAAAAAAAGTATGCCAAGAAATGTGAAATATAAGTTAAAGATATGTGTTAGTTTCCACAAGGAAAATAACATATTTGTGTCCCCTACCATATATTATTGGAGATGTTCCTAAGTTGACATATAATTGTCTGTGGGATTGCGTAAGTAATTTAGTCTTACATTATGGTCGACAGCTAGGGGCTACAAACATGGATTTAGGAGTTGCACCATGTCAATGAACGCATGTCTGAGGAAGTTGACAGTTGGCGCATGTTTCGCAACAGTCTTCTCTTGGCAATCTCATCAAACTCGTTTTTTTCTGTAATGAAAAATTAGAATTGTCTGTAGACAAAAGTACCAGTGGAACAAAAGTATGGTGAACCACTCAGAACCAGAGTGGCCTACTAGGGTCCAGTTCTACTAGAGCTCCAGCATATTGTTTAGGTGATGTTCATTTATACATCTGCAAGGAAGTAAGTTTACAAAATTAACATAGAGTAGGTGCATATAAGGGTGTATACTCACTATTGTATGGCACTATTTATCAATATTATTACATGTCTTGCTATTATGATTTGTATGCATCTTGTTTCTCTTTCAGTATTATTATTATGCCTTTTGCACGTCACCTGATATCCTCTTGCATATCTTTTTGTAATGCTAGCTTCTTTTGTTCATAGTCCACCTGTTACTAATTTTGTATGTTCTATTCAGTAGTATTACTATCCTTATGCATCTTGTATTCACCTATTGTATTATTTAGTATTTGTTATTGCTTGTGGTATTATTTAGTATTTATTATTGCTTGTTATCTCCCGTATGTAATGGCATTATTGTACAATGGCTTCTGCCGTGAATAAACGAATTGAATTGAATTGAATATATAAACTGTATATCATTTGTCCTTTACTTTGTAATTAACATACATATCTATCTATATCTATAAAAGAGGAACTATGTATGTATGTACCTTAAGGGTTCCAAAACCACTCGACATAGATTGTGATGAAACTTTCAGGCATTATTCAAGGATGGTTTGTGTGAAGTTTGGGGCAGATCCCTTAAAAGGGCTCCGTGCGTGTCCAATGTCAGACTTTTGGAACTACAATGTTTACAAATAAATATAATTTAAACGCACATGATTACCTTCACTAACTGTTTTGTAGGTTTGAATCACAACATTCTGTCTGTCATCCCCTTACCAAAATAAATGAATGTATAAATTATTACAGCACAACACATAGTATATTTATATTAAATAGGTGAACTCCTACTATGTAGCCTAATTTTATTTTTATCCAAATGCTGAATTTGTGTCACAATCACAAACGCTGAATGTTTACACCACAGACTATAGAATACTGCAATGTTTACCTACTGTAAATTTGGATTCTTGGTCAACAAGCTTTAGATTTCAGCCACATTATAATGACTCGATTCCTCCATTTCCTAACTCTTAAACCCCACAGTTTCTCCTACCTCCTTCCTTGACCTCCCATCTCCATCAGTGGTTTAAAGCCCACATTAAGATGTAGATTCTAGGTTCTATCTAGAATCTACCTTTAATACTTTTAATGAAATGGCGACCATTCAAAGTAGGTATTTTTAAGCTAAGTATGAATGGAGATGAGTGTAGGATGAGTGGCGCGATCTTTGTGCCGATTTTAAATCAAAAGATTTAAAATCCACACCAGGCAATGGACAAGTCATCCAACCATGACGTAACGCGGAAGGATATAAACATCGAGGGACTGGAAGACCGATAGGCTTCCATTAACGCCATAAAAGTCATTTTATTAACACAAATTAAATAATCGACTCAGTAGTCGATTTGGCCCAGTTTGCCACTGAGCAATAAGGTGTGTATTATACACAGAACTACGAATAGCCCCTTTTGCATATTTAAAACAGCT